ACCTTAGATGGTATTTATCGAGGCATCCTTCACCCGATGGTTCAGTATGACCTGAAATAAGTGAACCTGGTATTTGTCATTTGATTTGTAGTTTATTTCTTGCATACATATGCATGATCTTCTCCACAGACTGGTTCAGTGGTACAAGACCAAATCTTGGCATGCGGGGGTAGGACATGCCGCACAAGTTCACGCGTCTTGTTTCTGAGGTCGACTCGCACGTCCATCCCCCCCGGTGTACTGTATCCCATCGCATTTACGAGTAACATGGCTACAAGATGGGCACTCAACTCCCTACGATACTTCGTTCCATCTCCCCCACCCAGAGGGAAGCTTCTCTACTACACCAAACGCACACTCCAGCTCTGCGGGTTAGTATGGTGCATCGAGCACTGGTTCTTCGACCTTCGTCTTGTATGCCCCATCCCTGAGCACCCCATCAGCATCTAACGATACCCAGTGCGTAGGAGCGTCCATGCTCCCTACAATGCGTTGCGAGCCCACTCTCGCCCTAGCGCTCATGTACCCTTCCCTCCTCCGCCCCCCATCGCTCAAACTAGGGGATCTCGTCGTCGCTCGTTCTCCCACTCATCCGCGAAAAGAAGTCTGCAAGCGCGTGATCGGCTTGCCGGGGGATACGGTGTGCGTGGACCCGATCGGTGCTGTGCGCGGGCATGGCGGGTGGGAGGACGCAAAGGGTGGGAAGGAACATGTTGTTGTTCCAAGGGGTCATGTCTGGTTAGCGGGGGATAACATGAGCGCCAGTGTTGACAGCAGGATGTTTGGACCTGTGAGTCTGGGACTGGTGAGGGGGAAGATTGTTTTTCGAGTAAGTGCATGTTGGAGTCGAGGTATGCTGCTGATTCTGGTGTGTAGATCTGGCCTAACTGGGGCCCGCTGGGCAATACCTTCCATGAGCTGGACATCGACCCGGACGTTTGACACCACATGTCTCCACTACAACAGCTTATGAGCAAGTACATGCTCAACGCTGCGACGGCAGGACAGTTAGATACTACTCCGTACGTGCAAGTCCGTCGCAGATGCTGCTTTCCTCGCCTCGCTGTGTCCTGCTGCTTTGACGACCAACTCCGTATGCGTGGACCCAATCAAGCTTCCTCAAGCAGCCTACTGACAAAACCAGAAGTACCAACAACATATCTATCTCTACCAATTCCGTGCCTAATCGTCCTGCTTGCTGTGTTTCGTCAGAATGGAGCGAATCACCCGTGGAACGTGAACGGTGACCACCACAAATAAGGCCAGGTGTAACAGAGATCTGGTATTTGCTTCGTCGGCTGGATTCCGCCTTCTTTTCTCACCAGTGCAAGGTAGATTGATTTTTACTCGCCGTAAAAGGGTGCAGAGATGGTCTCAACCTCTTGCTGCCGATCCCCTGGCTCCCGAGCTTCCTATCTACGCGGCATCCGAAGTCGTCGATCCTCTCCAGAAACACCCACTGCACAACCATTCCGCGGGATTCCGGGCACAACAGAACCGGCAAGCAAACGGCCGCAAGGCCCGGTGGACCGATGAGCCGATAACCAGGCAGAGCAAGTCCAAAAGTGGCATCCTCGTGTCCGTTTTCGAACATGCTTGTATATCCTGCATCCCATCGGGGTACACGAGCTGCGCCTTGGCACGGGAAGAGCAACCTTCCTGCTCCCTCCTGCCTTCTCTGGTGCGGCTAGAATCTAGGAAGAGCGAAGCTCGAACGTGCCGCCGGCATCTTATCACGGCCTTCGGCCGGAAGGCACCACCGGTCGGGTGTTCGCCTTTTCCAAGATCCGGCACGGCCCCTGTGAAGGAGGTGCGACTTGGACAGGTCGGGTCCTTTCGCGCATTTACAGATGTGGGTGCTCTGTAAAGCTCCGCTGTGTACTTCAAATAACTTGGTTTTCCTCCTCTGAACGAACGTAGTTATCAGTCTAGTGTCATGCACACCAGCCCTGCCACCTCGGACCAGTAACAATCGGAAGACGCTGTTCCCCGTGATCCGCATTCTGGTGACAACGAGCTGCCCTCCGAACCCCTAGTTGCGTCTTAATTGAGCGACTGCGGATATTTTGCAGTTATTTGGATGTACAGGCGGCTTTTCGGGCGTTTGTTTCTCTGCTCTGGATGTCTTTGTTCCAGATGAGGCGCGTTTTCGCTGAGTGCAACTGCATGACTTTGATGAGTCTACCTGCACCTCATGTGGTAATCTCTTATCTATACAAAATAATTTGCCTAGTCGTTATCGAAGGGAATTCGGATGCATTTGGTTGCAGGTGCTATCCTCTCTACCGGTATTCCGGAACAGCGAATCAACAAACAAGATGGCAGACCGAGGCTGATCGTGACGTTTGAACAGCACAACGATTCTGTGTTGTCTTCGCATCGTGATGTCAAAACGGGGAGCCTATTACCCTGGCAAGGGGGAATTGGGAGATGTTCCCGGTGCCATCACCTCTCCGTGCTTCTTTTCCTGCTTTGGGACTCTGTATTGCAGAACAGCGAATGACCGACCGAGCTGCCAGACCGAGGCGGATGATCGTGGCGTATGAACAGCATAACAATGGACAGCTGTCTTCGCAACGTGATTGTCATAAACAGGGAGCCACCAACCTGGATGCCGCTTTCCTCTTTGGTGATTATGTATCAAAAACCCCTGATTCTTGTTTTTAGCTCTCATTGCGTCATTGTTCGCAAATATGTGCACACGCTGTGAACGTTTTCAATATAATATTACTCTGAGCAGGACATTTAAGAACGATTACATCGAACGATAAGTCGGATCATCAAACGTTCCCTCGGCCTCAGTGAAAACACCGTATCATATCACTTCCGAGAATCTATAACAGACTGTTGTTTGTTGTCCTTGTGTTATACCCGGGGCCCTGACCGAAAATCACTTCTTGAGCGCCAAACAATCAAGAGAAATATGACGACAGTCGTTCTCGCCTGCGCTGGCGGACGAGGGATGGATCGGTCGCCTTCTCGCAGTGTCTGAAGGGCCATCCCTTGCGAAGTCTTGAGAGCAGCGCCAGTCAGGTTCCCAGGGTAGAATAAATGCAAGTTTGTCATTCAGAGTCGTATCCTATAGGCATACATAGCAAGGTTGCTCCGAAGAATATAAATTGTGTACAACAGGGGAATACCTTTGAATGCGTACAATCACATCACAAATCGATCCAAGTCATCCCTCATCCCTCAACCCCTGTTGCCCGTTGGGTATCGCGTAGTGCAACTTACGCACCCCCGGCGAGCTCCACGATAAGTCGACACGCGCATTCAAGGAACAAGAAAGGACTGCTGACATCACCAGAGACTTTGCGCAAGTCGTTGGGACTCGCGTCGCCGGGCAGACCATTGCTGTTAGGTGATTCGGCGCTGGGAGGTGGGGCAGGAACAAACGTCTCAGGATCGTCTTGCGGTGCACGATAGTAACCCACATTGCGGAAGTCAACTAAGTAGTTGGACTGATCTACTTGATAGAGCTGTAGGTCCATGCGCACCTGCAAACCCGGTTAGGTCGTGTGCATGAAAGCAATTCAATACATGACATACCACCACATCCTTCATTCTCCATCGGGTTTCCACGAAGTACAAGTCCACATCACGCTCTTTCCGTTTTTCCTTTGATTTATCTTTCGCGTCCTTGTCATCGCTATACTCTCGTCGGCTCTTCCACTGCATCCCAAGCGCCTGAAGGGTACCATAGATCTCAAGCATGACTTCTCCGGGTGGACTACGCGAACGGATTCCGAAGTGCCATTTTGGCTTCTGGTTCTTCTTCATTGGCACCGCGCCAACGCCATTCGAAGATCCATTGTTGAAGACAGATTGGGCAACCTTCTGGGCGGCATTGACCGAGTTGAGCTCGATCGAAATCTCGGGCTGTATCCCATTCCCCCCCTCCGGAGCAATAGGCATAGAAGATTCGAGGACCGAAAAATTGTGATCAGCTTCCTCATCGTTCCAATCATCAAATTCATCGTCGTCCTCGTCCTCATCATCCGATGGCGGATTGTCCTGTCTACGGGAGGGGGTCAAAATATGAGCCCATTCCATAGGAGTGTCGTCGTCCTCTTCCAGTTCGTACGCTATTTAACGATCGATTAGTTGTGGGGCTAAGCAGCGGTGAAAGCAACACGTACGCTGATTCATCCTACGTTTATCCCTATCTAACATGTATGCGACCTTTATTCCATTATCCTGGTCCATCTTGAGCGCATTCCATATATCCTTCTTCCTCACTTTGAGCTTCTCCGCTAGATTGTCCACAATCTCCTCATCTACCACACCAAGGCCGCGGATTTTTCCTTTGTTGCTGGAGACGAGGGACGATAGAGTGCCGACGACGGGGCTTTGGGGCTTTAGGTATTCGGGCAGATCAACATTGAACCATGGGAGGGCGCGAATCTGCGGGATGGTGATGCGCTTCATACTGTCCACCACTAGCATCGACTGCAACAGCTGACGTGTCTGTGGGTCCAAGTGAGCAGGCAGGTGGTACAGACCTCCTACAACGGAATCAGTTCTCCGAACAAGCCCAATGAAAAAGCAAGTCTACCGTTAATCTTCTTGAAGAGCGTGGGGATATAGTCGTCGTCGAACGGCAGGCGACCACACAGCATGACATAGAGAATGACCCCACAGCTCCAGACATCAATTTCTGGACCCGCATACAGCTTTCCACTGATGACCTCTGGCGCAGCGTAGTTGGGGCTCCCGCAGCTGGTCTTCAGAAATTCTCCATCATTGACTGCATTTGAGAGGCCAAAGTCGCCAATTTTGATGTTCAGCCCGCTGTCGAGAAGCAAGTTCTCTGGTTTCAGGTCACGATGCACGATCTTATGCTTATGACAGTATTCGATGGCACAGATGAGTTGCTGAAAGAACCTTCGTGCGGCATTTAGCGGGAGTGGACCGTGTGCGACGATATAGTTGAACAGCTCATCAGCCGCGTACTACAAGGGTGTAAGTGGCGGGCGCTCCCATCACATTAAGCCATCCAACGCACCTCGATGACCATGATGATATCAGTAGGCGTCGTGATAACTTCATACCTGTGAAATTGTGTTAGTAGCTCCCATTGGACAAAGAATTTAGCGCATACAGCTTGATGATATGCGGGTGTCTGAGCATACGCAAGTAGTCAATCTCACGCTTTACTCTTCCTCCCATCTCCATCTGTGCAATCATCTGGCGATTTATTATCTTCATCGCAACCTTTTGACCGGTCACAGTATGGACGGCGACTGTGAATATCATGTGAGCACTTCACCATGGCTTTAACAGAAGTATAATCACGCACGTTTGACCTTGCCAAACGAGCCCTCTCCAATGTTCTCGAGTACTTTGTACTGACCAATGATGGGTGTGGCATCGTCCTTGACATTATAACTCGATGAGCTGGCGAGTGTCTGCTGATGTTGGGTGGGTGCGGTCATAGCTATGATTTCATAGGGTATTGACGTTGAAATGTGAGGGCAAGGAGAGGATGAGAAATGAGGGGCAACTCAGTGGACAACGAACACTCAGCTGTTGCGGGTGCTTGTGATTCTGGGGTACTCGTCAGACTCCGGTGGCGAATTTGCCTCCGGTCGCTCCGTCATCGCGGACAAGGACAAGCAAAGAAATCTCAGACATTGCCAAATAAGGAAATTTTCAGAACAGCGTTCCACTTTAATCCGGTGGGCGACAAGAGATACAAACATTTTCAAAATTAGGAATTAGGGGTAAGCTAGTTATTAATGATGAATGAGAGACCGATCTCATGGTCTGTGATAAGATGGGAGAAATCCCGTGATTGATTTCTTTCGCCTTTGGGTGGCGCGATATCCACCTTTGACGCGTCGCGCGCCCAACATCTGGTCCAGTCACCCCTCGCTTGTCTCCACCACTGTCTTTAATCTCTCGGCCTATGGGCATTCCGGGGCTTTGGGATGTATGTCCCTGTTCATTTGCCAAATAGTGTCGTCTGTTGAGCGCTCTTAGATATTACGACCTGCCGGAAAATCCCGATCTCTTACTCACCTTACTGTTGTGGATGGCTTTCTGCGCAATTCGTCAGGCAAACGCGCTTACCGCATCGGAATAGATGCGAGGTATGATATATCTCGCGTTGGTAATTCCGGAACCTTTGGCTTATTGTGAGATTAGCATTTGGTTTTTCCATGCGAACGGCGGACAAGGCGGTGAGAACCCCGAGCTCCGAACATTGTATTTCCGTTGCTGTCGACTCTTATCTCTTCCGATCCTTCCGTTGTTTGTATTCGATGGAGCCCTGAGACCTTCTCAAAAGCGGGGAAAGCATATTGGAAAGAATCAGCATTGGCTTGTCAGTGGGATGAGGGAGATCATCGACGCGTTCGGCTTCGAATGGTGGACTGTCAGTCATGCTTGCCAGTCTTTGAAGGTGGAAATAATCTGACAAGACTTAGGCGCCTGGAGAGGCCGAAGCCGAGCTGGCGTATTTCAATGACATCGGTGTTATTGATGCGATTCTTTCCGATGACGTGGACAACTTTTTGTTCGGAGCAAAGGTTGTCATCCGGAAGTGCGTTCGATCACTCTTAAGTTCTTGATTATTCCCTGATCTCAGAACTTCCAGCCCTTCAGCAACATTAACAGGAACTCAAACACACGTCCGAAAGACAGGTCAGGAAGAAAAGGACGATGGACAACATGTTGTTATCTACCGAGCGGCTGATATCGAGTCCCATCCGGATGTCGGTCTACGACGAGGTGGTCTCATCCTTATTGGCCTTATGAGCGGCGGAGATTATAATACTACAGGGCTCATGGGCATAGGGACCAGCATTGCTCATGCGTTAGCGAAATGCGGCTACGGTGATCAGCTCGTGGACCACCTTGAACAACTCAAGGACAACAAATCTCACATCCCGATTGCGCTAGAGGCATGGCGTGAAGCAGTTCGACGAGATCTCCGAGGACCTTCGCGTGTCACAGAACTGTTAAAGAGGAGATTTCCCGCAAAAGCAAAAGCGATCACAGACGATTTCCCCGTCATCCAAGACGTTTGCTCCTATGCCGCACCAGTAACCAGCTTCACTCTGAACCGAGATATTACAATGATTCAGTGGACGAAGAAACCGAACCTCGGGAAGATTGCAGGTTTATGTGAGAGGCATTTCGAATGGGGTGTAAGAGAAGTTATCATCAAGCGCTTTCGAACCACTGTTTGGCAAGGTGCAGTGCTTCGGGCTCTCATCGGGGCTGTCCTCAAGCAAGATGAGAAATCGACTCCGACGTCTACGCCCAGAAAGCGGCCCTCGCCCAATGTGCCCGTCACACCTAGCACCCGACTAGCCGATGCGTTCCGTCAATTACATGCAACATCCCCTAGTCGGCCGACTCAACCTGGCCAAGCGAGTACTCAGGAAGCTTTGGTATCCAATGTGTCACACGGGGGGAAGGCGAGCGAGACCATCGCCAACATTGATGTATCCAAACTCATACTGCGCATACACTCCAGTCGGACTCACCCATCCACCGATGACATGCTGGAGTATCGGCTTGAAATCGATCCAGGCCAACTAGTGACCCAAGCCCACACAGGGATTCAAGATACTCGACTCGGCCCAGATGCTATTTTGGACCCCAATTTCGAAGATCTTGACTCGGACGAGGAAGGAGCTCAGAAGGCAAAGAAGCCTCCCCCAGACCCTCTGAGCACACTTCGGATATGGACACCTGCCGTTATCGTGAAGATGGCGTGCCCTGAGCTGGTTGAAGAGTTCGAAGCCTTGCAGGAAGCCAAAGCAGCAAAGAAAGCGACGAAGGCTCCCAAAAAGCGAGCAGCAACTGCCCCGAGCCGGACTACGGCCTCAATCACCGACTGGGCTCTACCTGTGTGCCCGAAGGAGAGTAGTCGTACATCGCCACACCCCAAGCACCCAATTTCTGTATCCAGTCATGCAAGTACAAGCACCAAAACCAACTCAACCAACACTCTTCTCTTTCCAGTTAGTAAATCCACACTCAAACCCACGTCGAAATCCCGTTCTGCCACTGCACCGGGCCCTTTGCCACACCATATTGACGACCCCTTTTTGGATTACATGTCTAGCGACAACGGCGAACCTCCTCTCTCTCACAATCCGGATAACTCTCGAGCTCATCCTGACCCTTTTGAATATCTGTCTAATACTGCTAAAGATAAGGCCACCGCAACACGGAAGTCGCACGACAAACCAGAAGGCCCGAAGAAGCGACTAGTGTCCGTGGCACCGTCTGACTCAGACGACCGAAGTCGACACGCCCCCATTTCGCGAAAGGCGAAGGTTCACCGTAGCCCTCGCAAAATACCTCTTCCATCAGACAGTTCAGATGATGATCTACCTTCCCGTCCTGAATCACCTCTTGCCACACGTTGCCAGCCAGTCAGGCTGGGCGAAAACGGTCGTGTGGCTCTGACGAAGCCTGCAACTGCTGAAGTAATTGTGATTTCGAGCGACGATGAAACTCCACACCCTGGGCGAGCCGCCCCGACAATCCACAAACCTGTCTCAAAAGTCGTTTTTCCGCTCCTACCCCCAGCGCATAAGCCAGTGGGGCAACGTGACTTCTCTGAGGTCGAGGTCATCGATCTGACATGAGTTTAGGCCAATCTACAGGACTGGTCACCGTAATGTCTTCCATTTTGTTTTGCCTTTTGTCTTGGAAATCCTGCATTGTACATTGACACAGCCATTTATCATTCTTTATGTAGCCTGTGATTCTGATTATCTGCCGTGCAAATGTCACACTTGTAACAGCACGGAGCACGAAAAGCGACTTGTGTGTTTGCAATCAACACCGTACAGTAGCACCGCAACCTCTTCAGCTCGAACCATAGGTTAACTCTGTGCTGACAAAATGGAAGGCGAGTTCAAGCCCTGCTGTCCAGTTGTGTAGGAGGTATCAACTTACAAGGGCAATGACGCCTACCGGTATCTAGTACTTAATACGGGTGATAAGGATACAACTACTTTGGTCTAACTCTTACAGTAGAGGGGATATATAAAGTTCCATCTGCGTCTTTCCGCGTGGTCTTGGGTGTCCAAGGAAAGCTCTATCGAAAACGCATGCACCGACTCGTGTATGTTAAAAAAAAGCGAGAGATATGTACCATATTGTTTCGTGCAGTTGTCGGGCCGTGTCCGCCATCCAGATCATGTATTCTCAGTACCGATAATCAAGAGCGCGCGCATATGGGCCCTTTTCATGTTCGTAACTTGCCGCGCCCCGCAATTTAGCGCCCATGGCTGCTGCCTTCTCGAGCTTGGGTTCCTGCACCGTTTCTCGCTCGTCGAGCTTCACCTTGTACTTTTTCTCCGCCTTTGCCCGCTCGCGTTCCCTCTCCCCGCTCGTTCGCCTCTTCTCCCCAGCTCCAGCATGCCCCACTGCGGCGACGGGGGCAGGTCTAGGTAGGACAGCCTTCTTTTGAAGCAAGGAATCTGGAGGAACAATAGCTGACTTCTTCACGTGCCGTGCCGAGGCACGTGGTGCGAGCGGAAGGTTACGCTTTTTCGAGCGGGTTTTATGGCAAACTGTCCCAAGCGTGTAGGCATCAGGTATGGGGAGGGTGCTGTTCAAGACCATGAGTGTTCTATGCAATAGAAGCGATGGTAAGAGGGGTACGTACCCGTCGACCGTGCAGGTGGACTCGCAGATGCCTTTGCGCGAATTTACGCATTGTGTCATCCCAGTCTGGCTTGCCGTAAGGCTCAAACCGCCTGATGAAGGGACATAACATTTTGCCTTTCGTACATTCAGTGTCCGTGCATGCAAGAACAGCAGTGAAAAGATAACGAACCGGCCCACATGGGATATAACACTCGCCAATCCCATACGTCAGCCCCGTCTGGCCATGTGCGTCAGTGGTCTGCCCTTGTCCGGGGCACCGTGTGCATAAGTTCGCTGTCTGGGTATCGTATATGACACCCTCTTCGTGTACCTGGGAAGCGTAGTACCCCGCAGAGCAGGACGCGTACAGACAACGCGTGCCGTCACAGTAGGGGTTGGCCCCATGGATGCAGACGGGGTCGGTCGAGTACCCTGGTCTTGTGCACCTTTGGGAGGCGACAGACATTGGGAGTGAGAGTAACGACAGAAGCAGCAATAGGACGCAGACAGGCCGTGTAGCCATCGTGTGATCTGACGGCGGTGTTGGTGTTGGAGACGAACAGGCCGGCAGATTGGTTCTCAGTCGCCTCGGCTGATAGCAGGTTGAAATTAAACGAGCCTAGAGTAGGATATAGCGGATATCGACGTGCCAGGAGTGCGGTACCGTGTGGATACTAATGGTGGAGTGTAAGATAAGCAGGAGAACGAGCGAAGACGGTGGCGGAGTTGGACCAAGAGAGGCAGGAAATGGGGAGGAACGGGAAGGGGAGCAAACACGTCTTTATAACAAGGCATGTCGACTTCCCCGTGTTCATTCCTATTCATTTTCAGGCTGCCAACGTCACCCAAACAAAGCATCGCGCTGCTGGATATGCGCCCTGGTGGGAACAGAAGCAAGAACCGTAACGGCAACGTCCTTATCGAATCGTAACTCCTGACGACAATACCGTATGCATGCCAATATCGAGAGGGTATGAGAGACGGTCCAGCGCACAGGAAGGTTATGCCAGAACAGGAGACATGGTCCAATGAGTTGGTCAGAAGGTGTACGGTGGGCGTGAGCTGCCAGGCCTACCCGCGTCTCTGAGCCCTGCCCCCTCAGCCCCCTAGGGCAGGGCTTGCGACACAAGGACCCCAGCACCAAGCAGCGGGAGGCATCGACAAAAAGGTGCTCACGCACCTAACTTGGAAATTTCACAGAGATAATATCAGAATAATACAACTTTATGCCATCCTATTGTGTTCTCATTACAACTATTTTCAATGTATTTTAACTCTTAAACTGTGCATAAATCCATCGATTTTAGGCTCTTTTACAGGTTAGCGTTATTCACTATATATTTCATGTTAGGGTACCGGTTATGCATTATCTCAGGTTTGAATAAGAGCCTTGTCATATGAGGGTCCCCCTCTTAGTGTAGGGGTCCTTGGTGTCCGATGCATAACCGGTGTCGATGCCTGGCAGGACCCTGAGCATCACTCCTGATGACTATTTTTGTTCGAGCCTTCCATGAAAAGTGGATATATGTATATATATATTTAAAATTGTACCATGAGGTACCTAAATATACATTGAAGGTATTGAGAAAAAAGAAAGACGGGAAAGGATGCGGTGTGAGGGTGTAAACGGGGACAGCAAATGCTGGGGCTCAGACGAGGCATGCATGACGCGGGCGGGCCTAAACCTGGCAGCTCACGCCCACCGTAAAGGTGAGCCAGCGTCGCTCAGGGGACATGTCAGCCGCGTTCCGCAATTATTCCTGGCGCCACGCGGAATGTGCGATCTAGTGAGCAGCGTGCTCTTCAACCGGGCCAGAGAACGATGCGATATACGTGGAGGTAAAGATATAACCACTAGAATGTCTCTGGCACAGTTCCCGTAGATTGCCTATATCACCCTGCGATTGAGTTTCTCCAAATGAAGATGACGACTTCTCCACGACCGGTAGCTATACATAGTCTACGGCATACCGATTCTTGTGCGACTTGTATTGAAACTACGTTGATTGTGAGAATGATGGTGCATCGTCATGGGTAGCTTCCGGCTTGTCGCCCTGATACATCAGACCTCTGTCGTAGATCACGAGTAATAGAAGCAAACGCCGTGCTTGTCCGGCTGACGAGTTCGGTAATGCGCCATTAGGAAAAGCGAAGCGGTGATAGTCCGTGCACTCCTGCGCATAACATCATGTGATCCCCGGCTATGAATCTATCAGGGTAAATATAACACGATGATGGAGGGATACTGCTTCAAGTACAATGATTATTCTGCTCCCTAAGCCTCCTCATGAATTAGACACGCTAATAATAAACAAACGACCCCAGCCCGATTCGTAGCAGGTTGTTCCGACTTGCCCCTGACGTTTTCGAGCTTCTCATAAGACCTCCAAGGCTCTCGCAATCTCACCTATCGTCCGCTTCTTCCTTCCCAGTGTGCGAGGGGTACCTTCTTGTTCATCTAGATTGGTCTCTTTGGGCTTCCAGTGGAACTCCACGCTCGCCTCTGACTCTGCCACCGGTCGCAGCATGGGCACGGCGAGGTTTACCGGGTCATCTACGGCTTCTTCCACATCGTCCTCGAATCGGCCCTTGCCGTTTCCTTCCTCAGCAATATGACTGCTCGCCTCCGCCGACGCAGTATCCAAGTTTGATTCAGGTGTGTGAGCAGACGGCGCTGTTTCTGACTGGCCAGTGTCCCCGGACCCAATCCCTTCTTCTGACTTGTAAGGCCCCAAGAATTTTTCCCATCCTCTCATCTGCGGTTTCTTTTCCCGAATCTCCTCTATTGCTGCACTTTGTTCCGTCCACGTATGCTGTTGGTCCGACGTAGAGTCTGATCCGGGGGTGAACGGTGCATCTTGTGTGGACGGTCGTGACGCGAGCTGCTTTCTCTGCGGTTCTCGGACGACTTCTGGCGGTCGGACAAACACCGGCTCTGCCTTTCCTTCGTGAATGGTCCAGTACTTCAGCAAGCGGTGCTGAAGAAGGCTAATGAACACCGTCGTCAAGTGGTCCTTGAAACTCTTCTCCAAGATCTCTCTTCCGCGGTCGGGGACCACTTCGTCCACCAGTTTCAGGACGTACAAAGCCGTTTCTTGGTCCATCTTCAAGAACCTAGAGCGCTGGGTGAAAGCCCTTCCGTTGACTATGTTTTGCTGCACCGTATCCGCTGCTGAACGGAGTACCATATTCGCTGGAGCTAGAGCGGCACAAAACTGATCGAACATGAATTTGGTCATCCTTGGGGTAAGAAGGCTCTGGAACTCGTTGTTTTCTATGGCGATTTGGACGCGGGTCCAGACGCCGATGGCTAGCCGCCACTCGCCCAGTAGCTGGCAGGCTCGAAATGTGTGGAAAAGGATGTACGTTTCGATTAGTCGCTTCTGCCAGAGCATGTCAAAGATTTTCAGGGATACCTCAGGCTGTCCCAGCTCGTTGTAACAGTTCATCAGATAGGAGTAGGCAATTGACACCTGGTAGGGAGTCCGGAAGCTGCTGTGGTACAACGGCGATTGAGGTAAATGGGAAGTGTTGATCATCTTGTGGAAGGTCTTCACTGAGCGATGCACCTGCCCTAGGAGTTTCTTGCCCAATTCGGTTGTGCCATGCGTCACCCAGATATGCCTAGCAAGCAAGTGATACCGTCGCAGAGCGCTGTAGACCCGCGATGAGAGGTCAAAGTCGAGATTATTGTCGGCACCTACGAAGGGTAGGGCAGCGAGCACGAGATCTGCAGAAGGAACTATTGAGTTTGACTCTGGATACGTGGTCTCAAGCCAGTATCGCCAGAGGTCTACTCGTAGAAAGCTTCCCTTGAATGAGTCGATGCCGATCTTCATGTACTCGAACCCTTGTGCGTGGTCACGCGCTTGCGAAATGCACGATTCCAGAACCTCGTTCGCTAAACCATCGCGTACCAGGAGCTCCCTTTTTGACCGTTCGCTGAAGAGAGCTCGAGCGTGTTCTAAGTCCGGTTTGGTGATAAGTGATTCCAAAAGAAGAGTTACAAGGGAAGATGAAGGGCCTCCTTCCTTTTGGGGACCATGCTCTGTATGGCTTTGATGTGCAACTTCGGGTGGCGGATGCGCCGCCGCCAGCTCTTTGAAAAGTGTCATCGCTATGTCGAACCCCCCTTTCTCCAACTCTTTCTTGGAGCAAAGCCGTGCTACGATGGGCAAAAGCAGGTCAACATGTGGTGCAAGACCCTGAGTTCTCGCCCGATCGTACACATCAATCGCTCTGTTGGTATTGTCTTCGTTCTTCACAAGAGCACGATATATCACTTTCAAGGCAGCTTTTCTTCGTACTTTGACTTTGTCTGCATGATCATCTAGCAGAAAGGCATCTGAGTCCAGAAGTTCGTCGTCTTGGCTTCTTTGTTGATCCAGTGGCGCCCCGTCTGCGAGTCTTAACTGTTTGAGTGCTCCCAAGTCGGCCTCATGTTCCCGATCCAATTTGACGAGCGCTTGAAGGGTCCCTGGACGCACTATGTGGCCGCATTGGGTCATCCTCTTTAAGTTCGTCCAGGCCGAACTGAGATCGTGACGCCGGATAGCATATAGAACGAGCGTATCCCAAGGCAAACTGTTGGTCTTGCCCGGTGATTGGAAGCCTTTGTCGTCCACCATATAGAGAAGATGTCGCGCTTGTCGATCGGCCACATCCCACCAACCTAGACGGATGCAGACACGCAGCAGTACTGCACGTTGGGTATTCGTTAGCTGGCTTTGGTGTTCAAATAGCGCTCGAGCATATCTGTCGAGGTATACTTGGGGAGCATCGGGATGATCGCACAACCAGATCAGCACTTCAGCTTGCGTGGCAAAGCTGATTGACTTTGAGGGACCGGATGATATTGTTTCTAGGAGTGTTTGAATACCTTGGAAGTCGTGTTCCTCGAGATAACTGCGCGTGACAACCCGCCAACACGGTCGCATATTGCTGTTGAGTACGCCCTTCTGCTGAGAGTGTTTCCGAGCTTCTCGGATGGTTTCGATGCGGAGCAAAACTTGGATAGCTTTCTCTCGTCTTCCAAAACGAACGAGCTGGCTGATGGGACGTTGCCACTCATTTCCGTTGTGGACGTCGGAGGAGATGTCTACGTGAAACTGGTACGCGGTCCACCAGAAGGAATCAAAATCCTCGAGAATTGTTTCCAGCATGTCTTTATCTTCGGGATGGCCACTAGATGAGAGGATGTCCATGGACGGACCGAGGTACGACATGCAACTCTCAATGTGGTGAAAGGGCGTTTTGTCACCTTGCCGTACGAGTTCTGGAATCAGGAGGCGAGCGGCTTTGATGTAGATTGGATATGCCGCGCGAATAGCTGCCGGATCACGCAGGCTCCGGCCAAGATTGAGTAGGAGGGCGCCATCGTTTAGTTGACGCTTGTAGATTTGGACGAGGGAGGCAGCAGAATGGAACAGGAAGGTTGGCTGGGTTCTCATGCGCTGGGCCCAGAGTGAGAGGAGTGATGGAGACGTGTATGGAACAGCGACGGAAGGGGGCTTCTTGTGGGCCAATTGGGATGCAGTGCGAGGCCGTACAAGCCGGGAACTATGGGGGTTTGGTGTTCTATGATGTGTGCATGACTGGCTGAAAAGCACACCACGCCTCAGCGAGCGCAATGCAGCAATCATGGTCGGCTCCCTCTAGACCACGCATCATTACGGTACTAGAGCTGACGGCTGTTGAACAATGCGCACCATGACCATAACCATAACCCTGCATCTTTATCCATTCGTTGCTGATTGTTAGCGTCAGTCCAGTGATAGTTTGTGATTTATTGATCAGACCCTTGACACGGAAGCGATTATAGATCTAGCCCATTATGCGCAGACTTATATGATTTCACTTTAAAGCCGACATCCCAAGTAGCAAAATCACCCTAATGTCGTTGAAAGTCATGGCAATAATGGGGTCGCCAGTTGAAGCTGGGCTAGAGAGAGAGATCATGTGATGGCAGCCTATTAAGACGATAAACTATGCAATGTACAACATATCTACGATTTGTCTGTTATCGTTTCTTCTCCACGTTCTATATCTCCGCCGAGTCCGTGATGTCGTGTATCTGAGTTCCTTCCTCTTCAGTGGTTCCGAGCCCCTCACGCTGACGCTCCTCACGACGGTGGAGATATACCGCCATGAGACAAATTACGGTGAGGAGGACCGTCATAGGGATCTGCAAAGTGTATCCGAAGCCTCCATTGAGGTGCATCCACTGTTGGCCACTCGAGTACAGGCACCCACGCTTGAAGCGCCCAGCCGCCCATGAGCATAGCGGCCATAGTGACGGCACGCTCCTCGTTATCTCGACGAGTCATTTGGTTGGCAAGGCCAAACATAAGCGCATTGTTCGAGCCGTTGACGCCGAGGCCGATGAATGCAACAAATTTGAGAGCAATCGGAACATTCCAAATGCGTAGGACGATATTGCTGAACAAGCCCACGGCATTGATGGCGATGAAGAGCGGAACAATTGACAACACATTGACAAGGGATGCCGTCAACCAAGAAGACAACGCCGCGACACCGGAAACAGCAGTGGGAATGGTGTTGACCTGCTGGATACTGTAGAGTAGGTTCCCTTGAGAATCCGTGGCTCGCTTCAGGAACAGCGACATATAGTTAGTCGGGTAGGACGTGAGGTTATACACCATGTTCATAAGTGTCGCAACATAGAAGTGCCACTTCTTTAGGATACGGCCGGCTGTGGCGCGGGTGAGCTTCGAGGGTGCCTTTGATGCTTGGCGAGACATTCGGTCGGTGGCCAGTTGATGTTCCTCCTGCGAAAGAAACCATGGTATCTTGAAACTTAGAAGACCAGGGAAGGTGAAAAATCCTACGAGGGCGAGTGGCAGGGTAATGATGCCATCGACGATGAAGAGCCATCGCCACCCGGCCAACCCGCCAACACCGTTGAGGCCATTGTAGGCAGCGGTCTGGAGATATCCGGATAACATGGAACCCAGTCCAGAAGAGATGTACCAGGTCCCAGCACGCTTATAGATCTCCTCGGAGGTGTACCATGAGCCAAGAATATACTGCGGAAGCATTTAATATATTTTAATAATTAATGAACTGCAGGGAAAGGTGTCTTACATTTGTTCCAGAGAACGAAGGTACTTCGCACATGCCTAGAATGAACCGAATCGCATAGAGCTGGCCTGCATTCTGGGCGCGGGACTGAGTGAAGGTTAGAGCAGTTCTGCCCCTGGGAAAATCCATCGCGCCCAGCCAGGGCGGGACAGCGCCAGCATCAATGGGATCTGCGCTAGCATGTAGCCACAGTTGTAGGTGACATTGAAATAGTTGAGCTCGTTTCCGAACAACTTGAGATCATTGGACATGCCGGAGTTGTACGCGTTCGTGACTATAATGCTCGTAAGTCCGATGTCAAGTGATAGAACCAGCACTCAATATTCGTAGAGTCCAGATATTTGAGGAAGAATTGTATACAGCAGAAGGCGAGAATGGCGAGGTCGAGCTTTCGTACGAGAGTCTTCTCCGTTTTGCTATAATGCTCCGGATACCAGTCGAAGATACCTGTAAACCAATACCACCTTCCTCTTCCTTTGATCGCCTCGCCAGTCACATTGATCTTCGGAGCTGACGCAGATGGATCCTTGTAGAAAGCGGAAGAGGTGACTTCTGGTCGAAGACACCGTCCACCTCCATGACTGCAACTCGATGAGAGATTGACTTGGACATCGTGTGGATCGCGCTTGATCGTTGTTAAACGCACACTGGGGGAGGCGGGCGGGATGAGGGGAAGGTCATTCATCGCGATCTTAATGCAGGACAGTATATTAAGAGCTATAAACAGCTCACGCCGCGGGAGTGGATCACTCCTGTTCCAAGTCCCGCATGAATGGCGGGGGCAACATGATAAGGGAGATACCTTCATATCACAAGAACGGTACTGTGAAGAACCGATGCAATTCAAATCGAAATCCGATATAAGGAGCCCATGACCGTCTAACTCAGATTCTCCTTGCACGGCAGCGCTGGATCCATCGGGAAACCACCGAATGAGCGCTCGTGGTAGAGTACGCGAGCTTGAGGGTACCTGAAGCCGGTCCGCCGTCGAAAATTTTGATTTGGACCGGTCACAGCTTTGCCCAAGGATGTGCGCTGAACCACGTGTAATCGTTAAGGGACGAGGATTGAAAATATCCCATTCTCACGCCTGTGTCCCACCTAAGTAGTTGGATTTCGAAACGTCGTCATTTGACTCAGGTAGCGAGGCAAATGGTGATCATTCGGCATCTTATCTTCGAATTACTGTGCAACTGTGCCGAAAGGGGTTGTTCGCAAGGTTACTCATATCGTAATAGGAAGCGGAATCGAGCCGGGTTAGATTGGCCAATTGGATGCAGACTGCGAGTCTTGAAGACATTTTGTGTCGGCGAACAAAATGATAGGGAAAACCATCGCTGAATACGGACCGTGTTGGAACAGTGTAACCAAGAGGTTGACGTAAAGGGAATCGGTGCAAATATGAAGACAGATCCATACGTAGTCGTTATCGAACGAAGAGGGGCACCAAAACAAAACCCCGGACACAATATTAATCCAGCACAGCCTCTAAAACATGTGAAGCCACGTACGTCTGTGCCATGACTTGAGATCTCGGCAAGGTTGCCTGTGTGCTATCGTGTCCTCTGCAGATGCGGGCGCTTATCCTGGACTCAGACCTCTCCATTTCGTCCCGGCAGTGAGGGGAAATGGCAAGTGCCTTATCGAGCCGAAAATACCGATTGCAAATTGGACTGTGCCTATCTCAGTTAACAATGCGATTTCCGTTCCTATTAACAAAAAATCGGTATTGTTCGGCACGTCGATGCAGATACTGCTACCCTTCGGCACTTACTGCAAGACCACATCGCTCAATTAGTCCCTCATTGCAAACGTGAGATATCAATTGTGAAGCTAGGTCATCGAGCAACTTCACATCTTCGCCTCCCTTCGTTCTGTACTCTCGCTCAAACTTCTCTCACAACCATAGCTCAGTATGTCTGCCCCTATGAAGTTTGGCAGTGAATACAACTTGTGAGTTTAACGCCCAATCATGGGATGCATGTGATCTAACCAGACACGAAGCTGGATCAAGTCCGAAAAGGGGACTGATCTCACCCGGGGTGACGGCAACGGGAAGATAGTGAAGACGAGCAAAGAGGATATTGCCATTTCGCCCAAGAAGTCTGCTCTGGTCATCATTGACATGCAAAGTGAACTGTCACCACTTCTTTCCATGGCTTGTTCTGATTCCATGGCGCAGACTACTTCTTGCACGAGAGGTGTTGTGATGGCAAGCTGGGGCGTGAGATGATCCCCACCCTTATCGAGACAGTTAAGGCATGCCGCAAAGCGGGCATGCCCGTAGTCTGGTGCAACGTGAGCTAATGTCGCGAAGCTCATCGAGGGTTAACCGATCATTCATTAGATGGGCTTTAGTAAGAGTGACGTGAAGAACATCCCGCCTGCGTACTTCTACAGCTCATACAGACGCGACAAGAGTGAGCCAATCTGAAATCTGAAATCTCAGCAAACGCTGACCTCAGGCTAGCTTTCTTTGGCCAATCAATCGGCAAACTGGACGACGGCTCTGATATGGGTGCCAAGCTCGCCCGTGGCTCTTGGAACGCTGATCTCTTCGGGGCGCTGAAGGAGATTGCTGAGGAGGGCATTAAGGCCGGTACAGACACTTGGCTCTGGAAGATTCGCTACAGCGGTCTCACCGGCAGTCAGCCTCTCAACACCTGGCTTGAGCAGAACGAGATCACCACGACCTTTTTCGGCGGTGGTGGGTTGTTCATTCTCTGAAACCGCGTCCCTCCTAACTCATTCCCCAGTTAACACTGATGTTTGCGTATATGGCACACTGGCTGATGCCTACTACCTGGTCAGTCACTATGGTATGGATCATGTTTGCGGCACGTACTAACACCTTACAGGGATATGACGCCATCCTCGTTAGGGACCTTGCTGCCACGGGCAACCCGGAGTTGTAAGTGCCATATTTTCTTCAATGGATGCAGGGTTAATTCCGGGGATAGTGTCACCCAGACAGCCTACTTCGCCACAGAGAGTACGTCACCGCAACATGTCTTTCTGCATTGATGCTGACATTCTACTTAGTGCGTGGCTGGACCACGGATTCGAAGAGCCTCCTGGCGGCTCTTGAATAGACATGGATTTTGTTCATGTGATATTCGGCTTCTTGTACTGTCAACAATGATGTAAATGTTCCAGTAATGTAGACATTCCGATATGAGATGGGTTCGACCTCTGCGGACGAATGGCGCCGTCGCCGCAAAAATGACGAGCACAGAGAGGAATACCGCCGTTGCAGCAGAAATTCTTAACGCGATGAGGAATATCACAGTCGCCGCAGAAGGCTGCTTGTGCAATAAGTCCCCTGAGATTTCGGTCTCCGGATAGGCCGGTCCCTTGTCCTCCCTTTGCCCGTCAACGAGTGTGATTAAGGAGTGGAAGTGGGTCGAAGCCCTTGTAAAAATGTGTTTCTAAAGAATGACATGGAAGGAGTGGAAGTGGGACAGAGCCCGATGTTCATTCATATCGAAACCTAACTACTCAGAGCAGAGAGGGGGGCAGAAGGCATCGCGGGTCTGGAGACGGGCGCCCTTGGTGGCGAGCTCCTGGAGGAGGCCGAGGAAGACGTGGTAGGGGGAGATCCCATTGGTTTGGTAGATCCCAAGCACAACTAGAACGGAGTTAGCTACAGTACAGGAGGATGCAAAGATGGAACTTACTGATGACGGTACCCCAGAACAGAGGGTTAGGCACGATCCGCCTAACCCACAGCCATTCGAAAACCACATCGCCGACGGACAAGATGGTCGACAAACCGGACAACAGAAGACAAAAGCAGTATGCCGGCTAGCTGTAGTTCTTCACTTGTTCGAGTGCCTTGAACTTCTTACCCAGCCAAGTGAAGAAACGGACCATCGCCATGCCCCCTTCCACGATGCGGTTGGGTCAGTGAGCGGCGCCGGGAGGAAGCTGCCAGTGCCTGTCTGGGGCTTCCTCGACCACAGGGGTGGATACCAGAGAGACGTGTCTCTGGACGAGGAGGGCTTCCGCCGTTGCGGGAGAGCGCGAGACCGAAGAAGAAAATGCCGTGGGGAGGATGTTCCCAGGAGTCGTGGTAACCGGAGCAGTGGTGAGAGGCGGTCCACCGGGCATACGTGGGAGGATGGCCTCCTCGTCCTGTTCAGGGGAAGCGGAGACGCGGTTGACCTGTAGAGTACTCAGCATATAGCTCCAACGAAGACCACCATGACATTTCATCAGACGTGTCATGGTTACCCAACGAAGAGCACCATGACATTTCATCGAAGGGTCATGGATACCCAACGAAGAGCGCCATGATATTTCGCCTGAAATGCCACGGATGAACAGTGAAAGACGCACCAGATTATCCTCTTCCATTGCCAACAACTCTCTCGCCTTGTTCGCCTCCCCCATGTCGCCAGCCAAGTCCGCATCGCGAGCGGATGTGGCTAGAGCAATACCGAGTGGAGTCCAGATGTGAGCAGGCGTGGGTTCGGCGGGGAGCACGAGAGCAGCAGCAGGAGCAAGCCGAACCTCGCGCTGCATGTCCGAGTAGACGGAGGCGGAGTCGATCGATGCAGTATAGTCCGCCTGGAGCGGGTTGGAGCCTTGAGAAGGCTCGCCGTCGTTCTTCACCCCGCATGGTACAGGCCTCCCACGGGATGTAACGACACAAGCGATGCGTGCGGCATCATGGTACGTTTTGGCATCATTCATAAACCGGCGTTGTACGTCATTCGAAGGCTGGGTGAGGTTGGCTGTCTTCCGAGTTAGCATTCAACTCGCCTCTGTCAACCGCATCGGCGTACCAGAGAGCTCGCCGTTGTTGTTCGCTCCGGAGGGCACGCCGGTGATATTGATGCCCACGGCGGGCTCGATCTCCTCCGTCTTCGTATGAACCGGGGCGGGTCCCGTCTGCTCTCCCAGCTCGATCTCCTCCACCTCTCCCCCACGCCCCCTCCCCACCCTCAGTCAACCCAAGTCGCGCACCTTCCTCCTCCTCTCTTTCACTTCCTTGCCGCCCTCCCTATCCACGGCATCGTGCAACATCATTTCTCTCAGCACAGACCGATCAGCTCACCTACCGGGCCCAGCGATACCTCCGACATTCTTTGACTGTTTGTATTTCTTCTTGTCAGATCGTCGTAGGTGAAAGAGAGGACGAGAGGACCACATGGGCACGAGGCCCTTATGAGGGATGCAGAGTTTGATCCTGCTCCCCTATTCGGGCATGTGTCCGCACAGCACATCAGAACCTTGGGCATCGAGGACCATGAGGCAACCTGCCTTGTGCCGGCTAGCTGTGCGGTATCCAGAAGGCTCGAAGGTGGTAAAAGAGAGCTCACTTCATGAAATGTCATGGTGCTCTTCGTTGGGGGAGAAGACAAGATAGCATCCAATAATGCAAGAGTTGATGACCCGAAACAAGCAGGAAACAGCTCTTAGGGCATTGAGGAACTGGAGGGGCTACTGAGACATATGTGGTGCTTCAGGTCACGTGGAGCAGGGGGCTTGTCATATCCACCTTCTCCTCGACCTTGCCTCTCATTGAGTGAACAAATAAACCAGACGTGTGTGAGAGGCTGCCAGAAGCAAGTAGCTATTTTCTGCTATTTTTGAGGTTTTAAATTATATACAGTTTTTTGTTAGGTTGAAGAGACAGTTCGCCGGAATATTCACTACCAACAGTTTCAAGAAGATCAAGACTGATATGGGGGCTAGAGGAAGTACAGTTATCACAAAGAATGATGTGGACGGCATAGGTGCGTGTGTAACACTCCCGATGTACCAGCTGATATTGACCAACTCTGAAGCACCCGGACCTGTCGAGCGTCACGCGAACGTAACGCAGCAGGGTTATGTTGACGGCGACAACCCATGCAACACAAGGCGTCTCGCATCCATCGACTACAACATCCTTCCCTATGGCTCCGACCCTCAATCTAACTGTAGAAGCCCGCTTGCCCACCTTGCCTCCAACGAAGGGCACCAGGACATTTCCAACCCTGCTCTCCGCGACAGCCAGACTGCCGACACTGCGGTCATGATGAGCCCAGCCGGTCCTGCTGGTACCATCACTCCCTTCGTCTCCAACGAAGACCACCATGACATTTCCAACCCTGATCCCACGATGCATCAAACCAACTCGGTCACTGCTAGGTCAACGTACACTACCGGGAACCCTGAATGGGATAAAACGCTTCGAATCGTGGACTTCTATACTCTTTGCCCACAAGGGCTTAAAGATCTCAAGAAAGGCCTTGTCTCCATGCGTAGACTGAACCGTATAAACGGGATCAAGGAGGACACCGTCGCCATGCAGAATGCCCAAGCGATCTTAGACTATTTTTCTGGCCCGCCCGTATATGAGCCAACCATCTCCGGGCCGTTAAGCCAGCAAGGTGTCGGTGGACCCCCACCGTACGAGCCCCCTGTGGCACCAGCTTTCCCCAGTCAACAGCCACCCCGAAGCCGGGCAGGAAGGCCATCTGGGAACCACCGTCCAGCCTGGTCCATCGTCCCATCGGTCTTGATTTCGGCCTGGGTTGGATGCCGGTCGGTCAGCATATGTGGTCTAAAGCCTGGGGGGCGTGGCACTCTGCGCCGAGGCCTCCGCTCCCCCAGCTTCCTCCTACTTCCTCTCTCATCTGCTCCAGCTTCCTCCTACCCCTCTCCTCCCTCGTGAGCTTCCGCGGACCAGGGACCTTCCCACTATTTTGTCTGCTTCAGCTTACTCCTACCCCTCCCCTCTCTTGTCTTCTCCAGCTTCCTCCTACCCCGATTCTCACAGTCACCGCAGAATTAAGTCCTTTGAGATTTCGGTCTCCGAATAGGCCGGTCCCTTGTCTTCCCTTTCCCCTTAAATGTCCCACGGCTTGGAAAATAATATGATCGAGCGTTGTCGTTAGAAGGGAGCAAAGATGGCATAGTCAAACTCTATAATCAGGCAGTGTTTCTTCCGTAAGTCAGACCGGAGCGCCCAATTCGGAAGGAAAGACGAACGCTTTGAGATGGGGCTGGAAAATTTGGCGTTTGGATTCCGAGGAAGAGGGCCCAGCGTTGATCTGGTGTATCGGGGGAAGTTGTTACGGGTTGTCGCCTCAGAAGCCTGTCTTGTTCCCCGCACGACAGAGTGACGTACAGATTTCACCGATCAGATGACCATTCGGGACCGCCTTCTCGAGAACCTCTGACCGTCTAGAATATTGCGGTGTCCCGAGCGGAGGCCGCAACAGAAGGATGTCATCAGAGTTTGAAAAAGTGCGTAGCTGGATGTGGTCGGATCCGTGATCCCAACAATTGGAATTCGTGCTCCACCACATTCTAAAGTTCCTGAGAGTGTGGGAAAGATTGGGGGAGACGTCGTCAAGACGGATCTGATTAGAGGACGAGGTCAGCGCCCCGAGCTCATCGACGAGATCGTTGATTGGATGATGGTTGATTTCTTTTGGATCGGCGCCTCTGACTGTGACCGTTACAGGAGTTCGAGGGCTCTGGTTCGCTCTGTTCGACGTCGGAACATCACGTGCATGACATGGAATCGATTGGAAAATTTCCGAGAGATTCCAACTGTGTAAGACGCCGAATTTGGTTCCCCATGTGTGTCCCGGTCCCTGTCATCAGCATCACGCAACAGCTCGGCCGAATACTCCGCATCGGACGATTCCATCATATGCAGAAGTGTTGATTCTAGATCTTCAGTGCATCTGACCGAACTACCGGAAGCCGGATCCCGAATTATGTCCCGCCCATTGCAATTCTGCCGGGAGACCTGCGAGTGGGTGATGCTGACCCGATAGCAAGACGTGGGAAGATACGATTGGATAACGCCTGCGGAGTGTGATGAAACCTGTTGGTGAGAGAGAGGCCAATCAGCTTCATCGATCGTGCTTTAAGGTGCATATGCGGTTGGGTAGTAGTTTATCACCATGAGATCAGTCAGCAGATTAGAACGTTGCGCGCATCGAATGTCGTGTGAACCAGGAATAGGAAAACAAGGAAAACGGGCCGTGGTACAAACGGCGCTTGATTACAGCGCCCAATCACGTGTCCGGCATTACGCATATAGTCGTGAAAGTGACAGCTTAACCGCGCCACTGAATCGGGGGATTGGAGCGAGCATCCGCTGAATGGAGAAATTCTAATTCCGACGACGGGCCGAGGGGGAAGAAAGGGTCAGAAGTGAGGCGGGCAGAAGGAGCGAAGTGACGATGGTGGTCATATGTGACCCTTGTGGCTCTTGGAAGCAGTGACTATGGAATGTGAATCGTGACGCATCAGCGGCGATCCACAGGCGAAATGGCGGGGGAGAAAAGAGGGTTTAGCGTATTTTCAGCGGACCAGGTTCCTGCTATTGAAATAAATGATATTCAACGTCGAGAGCTTCTGCCCGTTCCTCGCGGTCAAGGGGTCGCCACAAGCGAAGATCGGGGCTCTGGGTGACCAATTAGTAAGTGTGAATAAGCATCCGCGCACTTAAGAAATCGTCCAAGAACGGCGGAAATACGCATCAGTACCAAGAGGGCCCGCAGTAAGATGTGAATGCGGAGAAACTGGAACGATCGATGGTTCCTCCGGCCCCGATGTTAATAACCTCCCGTTCCTGCTCGGGCCAGTTTCCGACGCCACAGAGGGGCATTACGTTACTAATGGTTAATTGTAACATTTTAGAGTGCACGTCAGATGGCCAGGAGCAAGATTCCAATGAGCTTGGTTTGTGGAGGTTAGAGAGGATTGGGATACTGGCCGAGCTTGGATGGGAACGTGATGTGAGCTGGAGGTAAATGCCGAGAGGCAAGGGGGCAGCGAATGAATGTCAGTGGTGTCCGGGGGTCTGAGGGATGGACCAATGGGACATGGGGACAGGGACCGGGAACGGCTTTGGTGAAATGCCTCCGTTAGTCGGATATGAACGGGGAAGGCCGTGGGAAGTGGATGAAGAGATGCCGACCACTGAAAAACGCCTTGCTGAGAGCTGATTATTGATTATGTCTCTGATATTTTCGATTGTGGATGGATGGATTTTTAGGTGTAGTGGGAGTGAGAATAATGGCTGACAGGGGCGGAAATATGTCGTGACAGACACGTTGTATATAGGGCACTGCAATGAGCAAGGGTTCTCGAGCATTATAGGGGGCCGGGAGCGTTTGTGTTGGCCCTGCTTCTTTGCTTTTTCCTGCTTCTCTCTCCTTCCCCTCCTTGTGACATAGCCGCTAACCCACGCAATTCAGAGAACAAAAGGGCAAGGAGAATAGGAAGATCCAGGAAGAAAGGGGTGCTCCGGATCTCCCTGCGGCTCAGACGACGGATGCATGGTGCATACTTCTCGCGCCCTCTTCCTCGTTGCCTTCACCATCAATTATTACAGCGATTTCTTTCACCTCTCAAGTCTGGACAATCATGGACCATTACACTCTGGATCGCAAGAGATACTCTTACTAGGACACGAGAACACGCGAGACTCGGGATTCCTACAGCAGTTGCCGCTGTCATCGTCGGGTGCGCTGTGCCCCTTGGTTCTGACCCCTTCGTTGCTTCTAACATTCGACCAAGTTCGTAATTTGCTGATGCGAGCCACCTTCTTGGAACCCGTCGCCCACGCCCACGCCGAGCCGAGTGTTGTTCATCACCCGCGACCAACCTAAACATTTGCACACGTATCCACCCTACACTGTCCCCTTCCTGCCGCTTTTGAATTCTCGTCATCTCTGGGTCCCCCGCGTGACCCCCCAATCTCCACGCTGTTTATTCGCTCATCGCCTTTTAGCATCATCATCATCATCATCATCATCATCCCTTCCCTTCTTACTGTCACTCTTCAGCTCCGTCTCATCATCCCTCCCCTTCCTGTACCCAGTCCCGTCTCTTCCCTCCACGATTCCTCCCTCCATCTGCTCGATCTCACAATAACATCAGCAACACTACTCTCCCTGTGGCCGACAAGGCGTAGTCGCGTCTAGCACCTCACTACGCTTCATGGCGCCGTTTGTGCTCAAGTTCAAGGTGCGTACCTCCGCCTTTTACACCTGCAGTCACAAGCTCATTGGCGCGAATGCAGGGCAACAAATCGTTCTCCACTCCATTCGGCGCCCTTAATGACCCAGATTCGCTCACCCGTACCTGGAAGGTCTGCACGAAGGTCGCCCAACACCTTGAGCAAGGTGTGTCTTACTGTCATCGTCGTTATTGTGGGTGGAAGGGTGACTGGTACAACAGGCGCGAGGCTTGAGAATCTCAGCTGGCGGCTTTGGTATATACAGACCATCACTGTAGAGAATGAGAAGACCAAGGATCGGCGGGAATTCAAGCGCCTTGGGCGACACATGGGAGAGAAGTTGGACAAGGAGAAGGGAAAGTATGTGCTCTCTATTCTTCCACCTAAACACAACAGCTCACAATGGCCCATAGAAACATAGAGGACCTTTCTGCGCCAGAGTATCAGCCTACTGCGAGCGCAGAACGACGACGCCAGCGAGCGGGCGAAATCCAGCGGTGCCGCGAGTCATCTGCTTATGCCGCTGCCGCCATTCAGCGGAAGCGGGACAGGGGCGAATTTCGAGATGGGCACCTTGCCGCTCAGAACATGAAGGAGATGCAGACAACATTTGCCGTCGACCCGGATTTCCGCGAGAAAGAGAAAAGGGAGGTGGAGAGGAAGTCAAAGGAAGAGTCGGCTAAGAGGAAGAGAGAAAGACAGGCGAAGGAAAAACAGATGATGTTGGACAAGATGTCGAGTGCTCGAGATGCCAAGGCAGGCAAGCAAGGCACGCAGAGCGTCCTCAGCGACGATTTCGCAGACCTATCCACGAGCGACCCCGCCAATGTCATCGGCGATGGCAGTCTCATGGAATTCCCCACTCTATTCACCGCCAATACCAATACGGACCCCGACTCCTCCAGCGGCGGCTTCCCCGACTGGGGTCCAGAATCCCTCCTCATCCAAACGCACCCCGACATGTACCACCCAAGCAATACTTTCGGAGAAGATGTAATCGGTCCGCATTACCCAAATCCGAACAACGATCAGTTTGGTCCACCCTTGCTAGAGGGTGAGCCTGGGCCTAGCAGTGTGCCTGCGCCGCGACCTGCACTCGTCATGCGCCTGGACGGTCTGATGTCTGATTCCATGGGACCTGGAGCACCGATAGGCCCACTACCGCAGGGCAGGGGAGGAAGACTGTCCCAAGAGGAAGAGGCGCAGTGTGCGAACTGCGGCGCCAAGAGAACCCCATTATGGAGACGAGGTTTGGGTGACGAGCTGAATTGTAACGCCTGCGGGTTGTATGTCAAGTGAGTGTCCTTACATTTGGTTGTATCGCGTGCAGTGTGTTGACAACCACATGGCAGACAGCATAAGAAGCCTCGTCCACTCAATCTTCAGCGGGACGCAAATGCGGCATACAAGAACGGTGCAGGCGGGAGTGGGCAGCCTCAAGAGCCAACCCGCTGTTCGAATTGTGACACGACGAACACGCCGTTGTGGAGAAAAGACGCAGACGGAAGTACGCTGTGCAACGCTTGCGGGTTGTAGTACGTCGTACTACTTTCTATCTTGATAAGAATGGGATGATTGATGCGGTAAGCAGTATGAAGCTCCATGGCGCGCCACGACCTCGCTCGCTGCGCAGCGAGACGCCTAAGAAACGCACACGCCCTAGCAGTGACGCCCGCGCACCGATGGCCGGGTCTTCCACTCCATCCGCCGCAGCGAGCCCCTCCGCGTCTATCATGCGTTCTCCGCGCGGACCCCGCCCAGGTATGGTATTTACTATACCTGCTGGCTCGGATGCCGCTGTGGCAAGCTCGATGCGTGATCAGGATCAGGAGGAAGAAGACGAGGTCGACCAGCTAGCGGAGGACGAGGCCGAGCCCGGGTCCGGGCAGGCGGGGCCTTCGTACTCTGCGTATAGCAGGGAAGCATACCCTCAACCGCATGCCGCGCACGGCTACTCGTACACTGCCGGGGAGAGCAATGTGTATACTAGTGGTGGTGAGCACGCCGGTTATCACAGGCACGACTCGGACGAGGAACCCGACCCTAAACGGCGCCGGCTGGACGATGAAGCATACCAACAGGCTCAACAACCGCAGCATCAGCACCGCTCGCCCTATCATGCCACTCAGCAACAGCCCACGCTCGTGCCAAATGAGCCCGAGATGCAACACAGGCAACAACTGCCTCCGCTCGCAATCCCTCAGCTTGTCCACCCACAAACAGATGGTGTTTACCCATTCCCTCCGCACGAGCAGTACGCCGTCGACCAGCAGAGCGGGGAGCGATATTCCGCTGCTGCTGCTTCTGCGGCGGGCACAACGAGCTACTACGACGCAGAGCCCTACAACTCTGCCTATCAGTCAGCTACAGCAACAGTGGCACACCCTCGACCATGGGAGCTGAGTCCGATTGATGCACGTCCGGCTCAGGGCCCGGTGACGACGCGGTTCGAGGTGCCGGCCGTATTCCCCCAACCAGAGAGCTGGTACATAGAGGCGGCCGCCCACGGCAGTCAAGACGTGACCCTTTCTTACGATGAGCACGGTAACGGACGCCTGTATTCCAGCAATGCGTGGATGCTCCATGAGTTCAATAACATGTTTCAAGGCCACCCCCCACAACTGCATACTGGTAGTGAAGGCCAAGCGATGTATCCTGCCACTGCTGGGTGGGATAATCAGAACCAGAATGCAACTCCGGACAATAGCGACAAGCAAAACCCGCGTAGCGACTATCAGGGTGCTGCCGTAGAAGGCGGCACATACTCCCCAAGGAGTTACGATCAGTCGGCGCAGGTTGAGCCACGCCCACCCCCCCAATCCTGGGACTACCATATGCCCACCCGTATCGAGCAGTCCGCTGTGACCGACAAAGGGAAGAGTTCAGCGGCCCAAACGGGAGAGAACCGCTGGGATGACTATCAGTCGCGCCGCGAGGCTGATGCCTCGAGCAGTAGTGGGTACAATCCGAGTGGCGAAGGCCGAGCCGACCAAAACAAGAATAAGGAGTACACCGACGTCAGCCAGCCACAGGTGCAATATGACTATCAACAAACATACGGTGCATACAATGAGCCCAGCCGTAGCCAGTATAGTTCTGGCCCGGCCCCAGAACCCGCCCGCCCACAGGAGCCGTATATCGACGAGGATTTCGGCCCGCCGCGCGATCCTAAAGCGTATGACTTCAGTCCATGGGGCCCACAGCCTTACAGTTCCAGCACATCCGACTATACGAACAGGAGGGGCGTCAAGTCAGACCCTGATGATGAGCCGAGTGATGAAGATTAGTTGTTGTTTTTAACTCGATTAACACCAAAAAAACAAGAGACGTTCCCAACCCTATCGACGTCTATCGATCCCATCTTGCTCTACGATTTCTCATGCCCCACGTCATCGATCCCGATCGTCCAAGTACATATCAATCGAAATGGTTTAGGCAAGCTCCTCGTATCTGCTCCCTTCCGGCCACATGTTAGCGTTTCCCAAATCTTCACATTTCGCGTTTCTTGCTTCCTCTTCCTATTCCGTCCCCTGGATCTCAAATCTCATCGATGATCGATAATGATCACCAATCACCGTACCCAAAGGAGCAATGAATCTGGATTCCCGCCGCAACAATTCCCAGTCTTAGTGCGTTGTACGTTTTCTCTTTTGTTACCAATGTATCTATTTCGCCTTGCTTTCTCTGTTTCACGTGGTGTTGCACGTCGGACGTAGAGAAGTTTGTCGTTGTTCAGGAGAAACTGGCCCCCCCTCCTTCGCTACCTGCTCGTGTATCGCAAGAGGATAGAAATTCCGTATTTCTTTACGTCAGTTATGTTGTAGCTCTTTTCTTGAATGGTTACGATGATCTGTGGCAATATATTCTGGCGCGAGATTCCTTCAGGGACGTGTTGAAATTCGCGAAGTGAAAGTGACTTTGCACCGGAACAACGACACTATCATACAATAACAGTATTACGGGTGTAGTAAACTGCCCGTTTATAACCTGCGGTGGTCAAGAATCGGAGAGAACACTCTGCTTGTTTATCACCCTCGATGGTCTCTTGCTTCTCATCCGTGACGTCCCCCCACCAAGTCCTCGCGGCATTGCCAGTCATCAGCTGAACATCGTCCTGGTGTGGAGGACATCGGCGATGAAGGACGAGCAGAGTGGGCAAAACATGAGGCCTTCTGATGGAAAGAGACACTTGGAGGAGAACGACGTGTCTGACGTGCGCACGCTCGTCCTCATTCGCACAAAAGCACTAATACGTATCTCAGGAACCCACTCGCAAGGTTCCAAAAACGACAGTGAAGCCATCAACATGGTTTCATAGCTCGTTCAATACATCAAAGCCGACTGTGCCTACAAATCCAAGCATTGTCCAGCACGCCCCGCGTTCAGCTCAATGGATTAGTCCAGCGTTCAGCAGGGCGACCACTCAAGCTGGTGGATCGTTCCCTTCTATCTCTCGTGGGATGCCGGTCCCATCGGTTGTGCATGCAGATGGAAGTTCCACTCCCGTCCATCGGTCCCTCCACAATGCGTCTCAAATGAGCCGCAATCTTGCCTTGCCGCCTTCGACGCCCACGCGTGGTCCTGCAACGCGACGGCCTGGACCACCGGCGTTTTCCGTCCCCGGCAAGCAAACAAAGCCAGAGGAGCGCATACATCATGCTCTCTCTCATGTCAAGCCGCCACGACCGCCTCCAACCAGTACTCCATCGCAGTCTCCGGTGACTGCTAAATTTAGGGTTGCGGGCTCACAGCAGAAACCGCCGCTGAGACCAAGATTCGACCTGACTGGCATCAGCAGCGACGGTTCAGAGGAGTATACGGTTGATGAACGTGATCGTGGTCTATTCATCAGTCCGCAGAAGAGCAGGGCGCGTAACAAGTGAGTCTCATTCTATTGATCGCCAAATATGCGAACGCATATACCCATCCACCGATGATTTCCCCCTCACCGATCTCCTACTCACAACTGTCACAGAGGAGGATTGGCTGATCGCGCTGAAATGATCATCGCCCGCCAAGCGACTTCGAACAAACTCTGGTCCATTTCCGAAGAAGCCGCAGCCCTCGTTCCCGACTTCAAAGTTCAGATCACCACCATCCTATCCCTCTTACCTGGCCGTATCTTGACTCGGTGCCGAATGTTAACCAGTGGCATGGCGTTTGATGGGAGTGGGCTGTTAGAGGGGATCGTGCTGTTTGGAGCTGAGAATAAGGAGCTGAAGGAAGGCATGAGTATCGGGATATGGAAGCCATGGGGAGAACTGCCGATGAAGCCGCTTGAGCCTTCTGTCTCAACCCTCGAGACAGCAGTTGCCCCGATACCCGATCCACCCGCCGAGGATGTGCTGTTTCAAGCTGAACAACCAAATGAAGTCCTTGTGGAAGAAGACTCGCACATGTCGAAAGTAGACGATGATGATATCAGAGACTCCGCAGATCCCGTCAGCTCGATCAACGAGCAACAACCTACGACAATTCCAGATCCTCACGTTCTACTTGTCACGAGATATCGCATTCTGAACTGATACTATTCGATGTCAGTGCACTGAGACGCACCACAAGCCTTTATCCCATTCTCTGTTTGTAGCCTTTTCCATGTTGTACCAAGGTCTGTACAGACTAGAAATGTAGCCATATCGGAAACCGTGATGCAACTGTAATCGATCTCATTCTTTATTCTGCACACGTATGGATACAACAGCGTCAGAGCCCGCCTAGCCTAAGTTTCGGGGCAAGAGCTGCTATGGGGGCAGTTCTTGTTCAGCGAGCGTAAGTGGGCTCGTTGTGTCCGATGGCGAAGTACGCATCATCCAGAGCTTGGAGGACGTCCGCTGGGAGGGGGCCCTTCTCACTGACCGAAAGGTTTAGAACAACATTGCAGAACGGCATAGAGGACGTACCTATCGAGGCAGTTTGCCTCGACCTGAGCTACGCTCGTACCGCCAAAAATCACCCCGTCGGTCGGGATGAGGACACTGTGGTGCTGGCACCAGCGCAGGGCCACCTCGGTCATAGTCAAGCCGTGCTTGTCCTTTTCAAACATAAGCCGTTTCTCGAAACCTAGGGAATAGAACTTACGCAAGCAGCCTTGATAGTATTGCATGCAGTTACGTACGCTTCCTTGAGGTAGCGGGCACGGTACATGACCGCGCTCGCACTTTCGCCCTTGAACCGGCCGACCGGGAGGTCGTTCTGCAAGCTCAGGATCTTTCCCGCGAGCAGGCCACCAGCAAGGGGGTTGTACACCACCAGCCGGATGTCGTACTTGCGCAGACAGGGAGCGATTTCAGGCTCCAGCGCACGGGCGATGGCGTTGTACATCCCCTGGTAGATACGGGGCTTGACCCAACCGCGCTCGTTGCAGATGTTCCAGATTTCGGCTACCTCCCAGGCGGCGTAGTTCGAGAGACCGAAGATCTCGCTGCATCTCCCGTAAGAGCGCGGTCCGAAGTAGTAAAGAATACACGTACAAATGACCCTCCTTGTACAACTTGTTGACCTCCTCAACCGTCTTCTCGTATGGGAACTATCGTAGCGTCAGAACGAGCGCTTGGTCCTACGCGTCCCAACTCACCTTGTGGTCCGGCGCATGCAAGTAGAACACCTGCACTTTCTCCCTCTTGAGCGTCTTGAGCGACGTGAGCAAGCTCTCGCGGACAGCGTTGGGCTTGTGCCCGTCCGGATGCCAACGGGGTGCGCACTTGGTGTCGATGGTGCTATCGCGTAGGTTGAGCTCTGCCAGATACTGCAGGCCCTTTCAGCCTCTAGCCTTGCATGGGAGAAAGGGGGGAAACACACCTTCTCGGTTGTCCCACCCGCATATACACGCGCGGTATCCAGCTCCCTCCCACCGTGCTTATAGAACTGGTCCAGGATCTTCTGGCACTCCTCTAGGCTGTCGGTCCGGACCGCTGTTCCCATTCAGCATCCCGTACCTGGTGTCGCATAAGGAGACTCACCATTCTGACCCGGCTCGCCCATCGTCATCCTGCCGTCGTTATAATTAGAACATCTTGTATTCCTCACGGGAAGCTGGAACCACGACGGGGACTTACGTGCCCTACACACATGGATATCTCAGCACCTGGTCAACCTGGCCCAATAAACTGTACTCACGAAGATCAAAGGAACTCTAGGAGCCATCTTGGTGAGCGCTGCAAGTCAACGAGCAGGGATGTCCACCGTCCACCGTCCACCGTCCAATGTCCACCGAGCCTTAAATGTACACAATTACCCCATGTCGATCGGCGATCACGCAACGCCGCGGTCCGACGACGACCTCCACTCACTTTGGGCGTCTTGTGAGTGAGTGCTGAGCCTGACCGGCGACGGTGGGCACACAGGTTATCGGTATCCTCCGGTGCTTCGACGTCAGTCGAACAATCACATCGTCGACTACTGGATAATAGGCGAAGATATCTTGTACAATGACTTAACTGAACTAGCCAGCCTCGGTCTGGAGAAGCCGGAGATAGGGGACAAACATCGGCCCGCTTCGCAAGACAACATCTCACTTTCCCCGCCTTTCATGTCCGTCACCTGACAATCATTAAACGGAGGCACGTCTCCACAGCGACTAGTACTGTTATGGAAGTTTTCAATATTAACTGCTCCGATTTTAGACTTCAGACGTCATTGTCTAAGGCTGATTATTGACTGAACCAGTCTCGAACTTGTCCCACCAGACCAAGCCGAATGCAGACCAGAAGATATTGCAGAAAGATGTCCATTGGTTCTTTAGACCCGAATAACTGATTACTGGAGGCACGTAGGCAGACCATGCACGGAGGGATGAAGACGTGATACGTGAATAATCAAAAGTACACATTATAACTACTACTCCAACTCCAAAAACCAACCCGACTCGTAACTTTATTTTCTCACTCAGGCACCGGTTACACAACAGTCTCCTTGTGCTCGTGGTGCTCCACATCCTTCCTGTCCCCGGCGAAGGTATCATGAGGCCGCCACTTGGCGGACGTCATAGGCGTCGTCTCCTCGAGCATGCGGTCGACTTGTTCGAGGGAGAGGCCCTTGGTCTCGGGGATAAGGAAGAAGGCGAAGGCGAAGCAAGTGAAGCAGAGGGAGCCCCAGATGAAGAAGACGCGCGGGCCGAGGTTGGCGTCACCGGGCTGGGTACCGACGAGGTAGGGTGTGATCACGGCGATGATGCAGTTCCAGAACCAGTTGGAGGCGGTGGACAAAGCGACACCCTTGGCACGGATGGGGAGAGGGAAGAGTTCGCCAATGACGACCCATGCTGCGGGACCCCAGGTGACGGCGAAGAATGAGATGTAGATGCAGATGAAGACGATCAGGCAGATGGTCGCCGCCTGCGATCCGGGCAGGCCTACACCGACACCGGCAATGATGAACTCACAGACGAACATGCCGGCTGCACCCCAGATGAGGAGTGAACGACGGCCGAACTTTTCAATGAGCCACCAGGAGGCCGGGGTGGAGCCGACATTCACCGCGGTGGTAGCCATGGAGATGGTGAAGGAGTTCTGGATACCGGATTGCTGGAAGAAGACATTGCCATAGTAGAAGATGAAGTTGATGCCTGTCCATTGCTGGAACATCTGGAGGAAAGTACCGATCATCACACGACGGAAATTGCCGGCAGGGTGGAAACCGCCACGGAAGACATCGATCCATCCGGATTGCTGGATGGACAACTCATACTCGTAGTTGGCCTGGATTTCGGCCAACTCGGCTTGGATGTACTCGGACTCGGCAGGCTGGCCACGGACACGGACTAGGGATTGCGTTGCTTTATCGAGATGGCCTTTCCTGACCCAATAACGGGGCGACTCGGGGAGCACCAACAATCCTGTGGCGAGGATAATCGCCCACAAGAATTGGATGGCGATGGGGATACGGTAGGCACCAGAGTTGGTCCTGTTCTCGGTCGCATAGGTCACGACGGTGGAAAGCAGAAGCCCGACGGTGATAGCGAATTGGTATCCGGACACGAGAGCACCACGGATCTTCTTCGGGGCGATCTCAGACATGTACAGGATGACGGTAGCCGAGATGATGCCGACGCCGAGACCGGCAACGAAACGACCACCGGCGAGGGTGGAAACGTTGGCTGCAGCCATCTGGATGATGACACCGAGGGTGAAGACACCACAAGCCATGATGATGGTGTACCGACGGCCCATGGCATCGGCAAAGTAGCCTGCAGAAATGGCACCGAAGAATGTACCGGCAGAAAGGATGGAGACGATGAGGGAAGATTCGGATGAGGTGACATTGACGGTTCCATCAGAGAGGAGATGACCGAATTGATTCTTCCAAGTGGTCATGGCCTGGACACCGTTGATGTAACCCGAGTCGTAACCGAAAAGGATGCCGCCGAAAGCGGCGAAGAGGCAAGTGAGGTATGCGCGGATGGTGATGGGGGCCTCGACGCGAGGGCCGTTCACGTCGCGTTGTGCTTCCTCATGCTTCTCCTCGAGGACCGCTCCGCCTGCCATTGGTGAGGTGATGAAGGGAGACCAGGAGAGGGATGAAATATTATTTGTTCGTTGAGTTGTTCGTTCGCAGGTGGTTGGCTATGAACTTATATTGCCGAAGGGTGCGGGGTAGATGTCGTTATGCTCGTTATAGGGCGGGGTAGGGGAGGAAGGGGGGAGAGACTTGTTAAGGGATTGAAAAGCAGGGGGGCTCGGTGAGAAGGAGGGAGGTATTTAACTATTTTTTTTCTGAAGGGGAGACGGGGGAGAGAAACGGGGATGTGGGGAGCAAATGCATGGTCACAGAGTATCCACATGATCCACCAAAGTGGGAAACGCTCTTGCCTTTCCATGCATTCTCACGTCTTCTGAGCAGGCACGATCGACAGAAGCACATCCATTACTACACCTAAACAAGCACCTTGTTCCGCCCGTCTTGCCCCCGCTCTCCGTCAGAAACAAACGCCCACGCGGCAGTCTTTTGATCCCGCCTTCTTGGGGTCCTTCCCCGGCTATCCCTCCCCCATCCCCGATCCCGCCGCATCTCGACCCTCTTCTCAACCTTGTGGCGATTCCTCGGATCTATTGAATGGGAACCTCATCACCGAGGAAATATCTTTTACGGAACTCAGCTACCTTGGTCGTTTCCTCGAAATGCTCCGCCCGCTTTCTACTAAAATTTGTTCAAGCTAAGACAGACACCATAAGCTACGAGTGGACCCACACCGACGTTGCCAACGCCGCAGACGCCGCATGACGTATCCTAACTGACAGGTGCGGAGTATTTCCCTTAACCTTGTACTGACCCCACAACACACAACTAGAGTTGTCTAAGACGCCTGCGGTGCATTATTTGGTGCCTTTGGCTCGCAGAACGGTCGGTCCTGTCGACTTGCTCTCCCATGCATGGTGACATCTCACAGCTCTTCCAGCACACTCCGTGCCTTGCGGGGACGGAATGCTGGGGGAGGCGATACGCGTCGGCGACACGGACCCGGACGAGCGGCCGTCAAAGCTGCCAGAATACCAAAACAAGTCTCACGACGAAATTTTCGTACAAGCAAGCGATGAATTCTAGCTGTATGCGGTGTCCGTACCGTGTGCTTTCGCGCGGGGCATGTGGTAGGAGGCTGAGAGAGTTTCTTGCTGTTTCTGTTTGGCGACTTCGGACCTTCCTGTTGCGAGGGTCCGAGACGACCTTTGGTGAACAATCGCAGTACATGCATTCTGGCCGCCTTCTATCGCTCTATCCGGGCATCAGCTTCTCCCACCGGCAGTTCATTGCATCAGGCGTACTTCGCCGTGCCTGATCCGGAAGACTCTCCTCGCCGCAAGCACCCTCTCTCGACCTCTCCAAGCGTTCTCTTCTGGAAAGGTTTTCCCACCACATGTGGCACCTGCCGCTTGGTTCGCGTGACTGCTTAGACCCAGGGCTCGGTGTCTTTAATGTAACTAGACAATGTAATTATGCCCAAAGTCGACGGGGAGCATGACGTTCGCTGCAGTAAGCAGGAAAATCAACCCCGCCCCCAAGCCAATCATCCACGGGGTGCCGGTACGTCATCCGCCCCTGCACCGGTTATGGTGTTACATGCAACCCTTTTCGGTGGACCCTGGCCCGCACCTCCGAGTCCCATCCCCACACGATGTGTCAGCCCAGCCCTTTCCTATTATGCCCGAAATAGGCCCATCCCACAGAATCCCCAATTCATTTTTCCCGCGCATGGACCCCGCTGCAAACCTAATCAGGGTGAACAAAGGCAGGGGATCATTTGAATCCAGACCACGGAGCCGATCTCAATTCCCCGTCAGGTGCGGGGAGGGGTCATGGGACCCTCCAAGCCTTGTGCATCTTTACGTGATCCAGACTTTTCATCCATTTCCATGCGAGTTCCACGGGTTTAGGTGGTACGATCTCTCGTCTTCTGGCGAAAGGCACGGACCTACGGATACGGTAACGTGTGGGAAACTGGAGGGACAGCCGAGCAAAGGGCTGCGGACCCGCAGGGGATATACCGAAGTCGAGGGCAAGCGGTTGTTGGCCAGTCAGCAACTCGGAAAACCTCGCGCTCGCTTCCGAAGCGAATCGGTCTAACTTTGTCAGCGACGCTATACAGTCACCGCGTTTCGGCCGTATATTCCCTAACCCCTGAAACGGTCATCGCATGAGTTCTGTGCCAAGCTTTTGGCATGCTTCCGCGGATTAGACCTATTTGCACCGTCATTCACCTGCATCCAGTAAGCCCAGACTACTCTGCTGGCAGCCTAAGAATATTTAACATAGATAGTGTCCAGAAAAGATTAAGGGCGGAGAGGGACTTAGGGAAATCTGAATACACATTAATATTAATATTGTGATTGTGTGGTTCCTCAGCCCAACAACACAATAAGATTAATGTACAAATGAGTGAATTGTATTAACTGAAGATAAAAGAATGACAGTTTACACAAATGACAGGTGGTGGGAACAAGCCCAAGTTTACAGGAATGACTTGTGAATCTCATGCATATTATCTATGGTGCTCCAAGGAATTCCTTACCCTTGTCTGCTAGCTCCACAAAAATCCCAATGAGGACATGGTAGACACTTAGACCATTGACCTTGCAGATGATGAGTACAACTGGAGATGTTTTAGTGAAAGCATTATAATATCATTTGTCATATGTACTGAGTAAGAAAAAGCCAAACTTTGTCATGAGCAAAGCTTTCAAGCACCTGCCCACCTTGAACACCCTGATGCTGATCATACTGTACCAGTAAACGCAGAGAAACTCTGAGTACAAGGGCCATGAATATGTTGCAAGCTCAGCTGCAGATTCTGGAGTGTGCCAGAAGATGGACACCAATGCACTGAGAACCTCTACAATGTTGCCCCCCAGGTTGGTGACATTGTCAAGGCCTTCCCAAGCATCTCCAAGGGGGAACTGGCAAGTTGCAGGCCAGAATCTCCGAGTAATCCGTACAGGAGCTGGGGGAGGTGGGCCCATGTTCCGCCTATTCCGTATGCATTCCGCAAACTGCACCTTGTTGTGCATGGGTTTGTGACCAAGATTGCACAGAGGGTTGTGCAAGGGAACTGGCAGGCTGGGATTGACCATGGATGGCACAACTGGGTGGGATGGGTGGCAGATGGCCTCCTCATCTACCTTGGTGGACAAGGTTGAGGTATGGGAGAGGCTATTTTCCTGTGTATGCATCAGCAAACACTATAGAACCACATGATCACATTTCACCAGAAATGTGATCGTCTGTAGCAGGAATGCACCAAGCTGTCAGGGCACCAGCTCATTGCTTGGTCAAGAGACATGACTAAGCCTTTATGACATGGAAGTAGCTGGTATACCTTGGCATGTGCTGGAACCAGCTGGAAGGGTTGGATGGTCAGGTGACCTGCTGTGCATGGCTGTGCATGACCTCATATGACCTCATCCTTGGTCATATGACCTGACCACCTGACTAGGCTGAGTAAGCAAGATGTTCTAGCAGGTTCCACCACAGAGGTATAAATATAAGGCCTACTCTGCC